TGTGTGTGTGTGTGTGTGTGTGTGTGTGTGTGTGTGTGTGTGTGTGTGTGTCTGTAACGTTTTCAGGTCATTGTTTAACCTGTTCACTACTCTGCCCCAGCATGAGCTTAATCACTGTGACCTATAGAAATACAATCCGAGACAAAATGGCAGGAGAGAGAGACACACTTTACCTAGTATTCCTGGAGTATGCTTTACTCCAAACAGAAATCCTGATGTTTAGTGAGTTATGCAAGCAAGAGGAGTGGGCCATGTGAGAAGGAAGAGATGAGATAGCTGTTAAGCTTGTAAAAATCCTACTGGAAGATGATATTGAGATTAGAACTAGTCTTTTTGGCAGAGTATACAGGGTAACAGAAATTGGGGGAACTGGAACAAATACATCATTGTTTTGGATGTCTTTATTCCAAGCATGACTTACTCTAGCCAAATAGGAATCAGGGAATTGATAACTATAGAAATTAGCCATCAAGTATCCACATCCTCATAGCAAATCTAATGGCTGCAAAAAGAAATATGCTCTGAGACACACAGGCAAAGAATTTCTTCACTTTGCTGGCACTAAAGACCAGCAGGAAAGAACACCAGAGCAATAGAGATGCAAGTCAGGAGACAGGCCATGCTGGGGCCAGCTCTTTTCCCAACAACCCAGGAAGCTAAAGTGAGAAGACCCCAAGCTCAAGTCCTGTCTGGGCTACAGAACAAGAGCAACACCTGTCTAAGCATCTAACCAACTTCCTGAAGCCTTGAAGCAAAGAAGAGGGCTAGTAAAACATATTGGTAGTAGGTTGCTTGCCTAACATGCAAGCAGGGTTCAGCCTCTATTACCAAAAATGAAAGAAAGGGAAGGATGGAAGAAGATGGGAAGAAAGGGAGAGAAGAAAAGAGAAGAGGAGGAACAGAGAAGGGGGTATTACCCTTATATAGCAGGCCATCTCCTTTTGGAAATTATTTTTTTAACCAAAAGAACAGGTTTATTATGGCTGATGTTTTCAGGACATGGTAACATGTATCATTGAAGCCAAACAGGAGAGAGCAGCACTTACTTCACCACAGAGGGCACAGGGCATGGCAACCTGCCTGCTTATCACATGGCCAGGAGTGGAAGAGAGCAGTGCTACCTCTCACAGTCCCCACTGAAAATTCTTCCAATGACTGAAACTTCCCACTAGGTACTAGGTCCCAAAAGCACCAAACTGAACACCAAACGTCGAGGGAACTTTCCAGATCTAAAATATACCTTACAAGAAGGGAGATGTGTAAAACGCTGTGGGGGGAGGGTCTTAGAAATTTGTTTTATATTCTTTGACACAACGTTACATGGGTATATGAATTTAAATTCATCCAACTGGACACCTGAACGGTATGTTTTTGTAATGTCATATAACCACAGTAAGAATTTTCACTCGTTTTGTGAGTTTTCTCTTTCTTGAAGTTAAATATAATTATATTATTTCCCATTCCCTTTCCTTGCTTCCTTTCAAATTCATGCTCTCTTTCTTTCAATGTTTTTCACACACACACTCGCGCGCGCACGCGCGCGCGCGCACACACACACACACCAAAACAACCAATTAATGCCCTGATTCCTAGGGAAGACTGTTTCTCCCTCTCTTAGCATCTCTTAGTTGTCTTTGTTAAGAAGTGGGGCCCCATGAGATATCCCCCTTCCCTGTTAGTATACCTCTTTGTGTTGTCCTTGCTCGGGTCTTATGCGGGCTTTCATATTGCTAAGATATTTTATGGGTGAAGATTCCTTGTTATTTCTAGGAGACACAATCTCATATCAGATTATCTGGTCCTCTGACTCTTATGATTTTTCTGTTCTCTCTTCTTCAATGGTCCCTGGGTCATAAGTGTAAGAGGTATATTGTAAAATACCAATTGGAGCTGGGCACCCTACAATCAGAAGTTCTCTGTATTTTGACTAGTTATGTTTTCTGTAATGGTCTCCATCTGTTGCAAAAAGAAGTTTCTTTGATGAGAGAAGAGAACTACATTTACCTGTGAATGTAAGGATAAACGTTTAAAATGCCATTGGGTATTACACTGGCTTAATAAAGTAGAAGTAGTGGATTATCTTCTAAGATCCGTGATCTCAACAGCCCCTGTAATTGGCTAGGTTTCCAGTACCAGGAATGATTTTCTTCCTGTTAAGTGGGCCTTATATCCAATTAGACAGTTTTTGGTTACTGACAAGATGTGAGTGGCATTATTATAATACCCTGAGGGATATTTTGCCCTAATGGTCCATTGTTGTGGCTTATAGGTATCACAACAGGCTAGAACTTACTATTGGCTGCTCCCTCCCTTGGCAGTTTTCAAAGTGCTTTCCAGTACTATGCAAGTTGGTCCTTGGGCAGGTGATCTTTCTGGGGGTTGTGTACAAGGTGCACTGTGTCTTCACCAAGAATATACAAGTGATATTAAGAAGGAAATGGTCAAAATCGGCAATGACTTAACTTGGCTGCAGTGATGGAAGATCAATACCAAAGGAGTGGGATAGAGAAAGGGAAAAAATAACACAAAGGATGTTTGGGAAAGCCTAAAAATCATTATTTTTATTTATCTAATATTATAAATAATGCAAAGAAGTGTATCTAAGTATATATAGTTTAAATGAAGTTACTTGGGCTGACAATGCTCCCAGCAACATAGCATCTCTGATGAAAACTCCAGTACCAGACATGAGGAACCTCCTTTCAAGTTGTTCATCAGAGGAATCCAAGAGCTGCTCAAAACCATATAAGCTGCTGCTCTGTCCTTGGTTGTCCTCAAGAAGAAATCATCATGTTCTTTAAGCAAAATCTCCAAATTGAAATGTTTCTTTCAAAACGTTTCCTAGGATTACTTTTAAATTGATGAATTTCTTCATGAAGAGACAAGAGCAAATTAAATACTTTTAAGGAAATAATAGGCAAGTATGGTTGAACAGTGGAGATGTGTTCTGAAGGGCATATTGCTAAGTGATTTCATAGTAGTCAGAACATCATAGAGTCTCCTTACACAAGGAAATATTGCTAGGCATCAGTAGGCAATTTAATCTTGGCACTACCTTTAACTGTCATTGACACACTATGCACTCCACAACTACACTTGAGTAAAACAAAGGGGAAATGTGACTTAGGAAAATAAATGTCAAAAATTCAATATTTCAATCTATGCCATGTCTCTCTCCTCTCTGGCTAGGTTAGAGAAGAAGTCGGTGATGTCACCATTCTTATTAATAATGCAGGTATTGTAACAGGAAAGTCATTCCTCGATACTCCAGATCACTTGGTGGAAAAATCATTTCTTGTCAACGCCATCTCTCACTTCTGGGTAAGATTTTCCTTGTGTTTATTAATGAGAGTCAGAATTCTCTGCGTTTCCAGAAGCAATTGTTCAGTTATTTGCCGAGACATACCGCATTTGTCTGTTTTCTATTGACAGCTCAAGTGTGTCTCATCCTCACCAGGCTTTGCTCTACCTAGCCTAGATTAGCTTTTCCTGCTTTTGCCCTACCCCAAATTCTCAGGGACATCTCTAACCACCTTTGACAATGAAAATGTTTTCTCTCTGCTTCCTAATTAGCTAATCATTCAAGCCATAATTGATGGGAATAAAGAGCTAAATTCTTATTTTATGCCCTTTAATAATAATATACGATATGTAACAATTAGAGTACATTTAATTAGCCACCAATGCCTAGAGGCTAAGGCTTTGAACAGTGCCACTCTACAGAGTGGGTAAGAGACTGAAGGAAGCTAGGACCACCAAAATTCCTTCCACTGGAAGGGACTACACTTGTGATTTAAAAAAATAATAATAATCACTAGTGATGAGTGCAGGGTGTGGGATATCCAAGTGACTTCAGCCAGGGCCATAGGTAATATGGAGACTGTCAAAGAGTAGCAGAACATCAATGCTTTGTCTCTGAAAGACCTTGGTATTGATTTGTTTCAAATCTCCCAATTCCTACTCGCTGCAACTCAAATATTTTGCAATCTTTATCGTCTTCACACCGTTGTCTTCATCCTGGGTCACCAGAAACTGATGTGAAACCACACTGGAGCCCACAAATTTATTTGGTCAATACTAATAGAACAGTTAACACAGTGCTTGCGTACTTTAGGTCTTCCATAAACATAAACAAGCTCTTACTTTCCTTCCCTGTTCATTTCATCTTAAAATTGTTTTCTTGGATGATGGTAAATGTCATTTATATTGGTAGATGGGTCTAGGAACTACACACTACTAATCATATCATACACATAGAAATCACCCTGATTCCCTCCTTTTTTAAAAACACTGTCCTGCCTGCCATACAAGTTATGCCCAAGTGCACGACCCTCCACCCTTGATGCCGGCTGTTCAAGCCATCTCTTTCACTTACTGACAGTTTATCATGGATTTCCATCTTTAACCCTGATGCCTTCTAACTTATCTTCATATGGAAGCAAGATGATATTTACACTGAATTAATCAAACAATCTCATTCGATGTAAGAATCAAACAGTCCTCATTTAGAGAGTCCCAAAAATATCATAGCATAGCTTGTAAACCTTATCATGACATGGAAATAGCCTCTCTTATCTATCTCCAAACTCTCTCCTTCCCTACTCTTACTCATGTTCAATTTATTCCAGACATCCTCACTAAACCCTATTATGTCAAACCTTCCTCAGAGGGTCTTGGCATGAGCTGTGTTCTCTAAAAAAATTCTTCCTTCTAACTCTCATCCTTCTGGCTTCCTGTCGTCATTGAGCCTGTACTTTTCTATCATGTCTAAGGCAATAGCTTTAATGGTTCACACAATTAATAGTACAAGAATTCAATAAACACACATAAGCCATTGTGGTATATGTCAGCAAATTTAGGCATTATTCTGAGCAACCAATAAAACCAGGTCATCCACGGCCATCCAGAAACTACAGAGAGAATCATCATTCATTTGTAAAATCTGAGCGATTCAAAATTCATATATTGCTTTCTTGCATTGGATTCACCTGCTCCAAAGCTTGATGGCTAACCTCACCATAGATAGATCTAAACACTGTGCCTATATCACTTCTAGTGAAAGATGTCTTTTCTCCAAAATGTTAAGCTTCCAAGTCTGTGAAAAACTGCCTTCCCTTATTGCCCACAAATATTTTTCACTGGATTCTAGTAATACTACACAAAGAATTCACAAAGAATTTGTCTCTAGCTTGCATGTTCTTGCAGCTTCTTAAGTAGAGGAGTATAGGATTATAAATAAACCAAGATTTCAAACTCATCCAAAAACTGTCCTTATATAAAATTAGTATATGCAATAATTTTTGAAAAAATAAGTCAAAAATAAAGAGAAAGTGCTTTCCCATACACCTATCAATATACTCATCAGAAAATAAAACAGTATTTATATTAAATAGCCCTCACTAGCCCTTTATAGCCTTTCCTTCATTCCTATAAATTCAATCAAGCACTAACTGAAAATATTTGGAAAATGATGTTGCATCTGGAGAGAACATGTATAAACACTTTCTTGCTATTATTCCTTTAACAATACAGTATAAAACATAATATATTGATAGCACTAACATTGAATTATATGTTATAAGTAACAGACATGACTTAAAATTTGCAAAAGAAAGTTCATAAATTATACACAAATACTGTATCATGCTGTATAAGGGACCACTATGACCTTGAATTTTGGTATCTATTGGAGTCTGGGAACTAACATTCCTCCAAGACTGGTCCAGAGTATACTTCTTCATAGCCACTAGTTTGAGTTAACTGTAATTCAGTATAACTATAAGATACCATTTTTTCTTTTCTTTCATTGGATATTTTCTTTATTTACATTTCAAATGTTATCCCCTTTCCTGATTTCCCCTCCAGAAACACCCTATCCCTTTCCCCCTCCCCTGCTTCTATGAGGATACCATTTTTAATCCTTCAATATATTAACAAATTAACTAATCTTATTCTCTTAGAAGATGAACATTTAATCATTTAATTCAACATCTCAATTAAGAGTTCACTTTAAAAGTTTTATGGTCTGAATGGTATTTCTATGATGGTGTCAGTTGTGCTAAGATCGGAAGGCCTACTAAGATCTGGGGCCCTGTTATACTATAAATTTTTACTTCTTTTAAAATATTATGGATAAAATTCTCATATTGTTACCCAACTAATGCAACTCCCAAAACTTCAAGACATTAAAGCTGACACCATCTATGCATCAATATAATCTCTGATGATGCTAAAAGGTTGTCAAAGAGGTAAACTAAAAACTTGTAAGAGATAATCCACATATGTATTTCGAAAAGACGGTCAACACTACCAACTTTTGTTTTGGTAGTAAAAACATCACTTTTGATTTAAATGAATAGATATTCCATGACAATAGAAATAATTTTTCACACCTGTAAATGGGTGTGGAAACACTCAGGAAGATCTTTCAATACGTTTTCCACAGAGAAAACAAAAGCTTTAAATAACTGCAATAAAATAAAATCAAGTGAAGTTAATGATTCTTTACATCACAACCTACATATAAAAAATTTGAGGAAAAGAGGTAAAGCTTTTTATAGAACAATTATGATTTGTTTACATAGCTATTTTAATATAGATAATAACAACCTATACCCAGTGTAATCTCTTATTAATTACTCTGTTATTAAAAATACTTCATGGGTGGAGGAGATGGCTCAGTGGGTAAAAGTGCTTCCCAAGTGTGAAAACCAGAGTTCTGATCCCCAGAACCCACAGAAATGCCAACCAAGCTTATTATACTTGTTCTAGCTTATTACTAGTCACTGTTTGTCCAATTGCTTAGTTTATAAATTAAGTTTTATCATAAGCATGTAGATAAACATAGGATAATACATCCCACATATACAATTTAATATTCACCAAGGCTTCAGCATTAACAAAAGTCTTAAAATGCATCCTCTCTGGATAAGAGATGAGTGCTCCTGTAAATATCCAGCCAATTTTGTCTTCAACTGAAAATATAAAAAACTAGCAACAAATCCAACCCCAGCACAAAGCAAAACTCTGAAAACAGTTAGACCTTTGTGAGTGGCTTACAGATGTTCTTGGACACTTTGTCCCAGAAGTATTTGGCTGTTTGGCAGACGGTTACAGACATCAACAGTCTCTCACTCACACCTAGGAGCTTTCTCTGCCTCAGTGCCTGTAGTTCCATAACAAAGTGGCACTGACTCACACCATCAACAAGCTCTCAGATACAAAACTGGTATCATAGTGGAAGCTCTACCTAAGCTTCTAGACCCTGCATTTCACATTCAAAGTCTAACGGGTGATAACATAGAAAATGCCTATAGAATTCAGTTAGAACCTTCAAGCTTTTGAGCTGAAAGACAATAAACAGATCCAACCACTACAAACCAGCACGCAGTCATGACAAGATGTCTATTATTTAAAGAGAGATCCCATAACCACAAGGAACAGAGATCCTTTATTGACATTGTATATGAGCATGAAATGACAGAAGAATACAATTGTCATCAACGAAGCAGAAACTCAGGCATTAACATAGCAGCCATAGAACAAGGTTGATGAAACAAAATGAAGGTAAGATGCTGTTTTTGGTCCAGTGGCCTGCCTCTCTCTTAGGCAAGAACATCTGTGCAGCCTCTCAAAAACTCCACTGTGAAAATATGACACTGTCAAATTATATACCTCCTAAAAACAGTAATGAATGATAGGACAGATGATGCCAGGCTTTAACTGAACTCATCTTCTGAGCCAGTAGAATGTCAGAGCTGACAAAATGGTGACATGAGGAACTTGGACTTAGACAGTAATGAGGAAAGGAGTGCAGAAATGATATCCCTGATATTTTACCTAATATTGACCCTCAGGGGAGCTGGAAAGGGAAATACAGCATGTTGTTTTTATTGATTATGCTTATCCCAGTAATGGAAAGTAAAAGGTGGATACATGGAGACACATACAAACAAACAAATACAAATAAATAAATGGATAAATAAATAAATTTAAAGAATTTTTAAAGAAAACATTCTGATATACTACAAGTTACGTCATTATCTCTGCCCTATTTCTACAATTTTTCCAAATTGCTTATGAACAAGGTTTAGAGGGAAAAAAGAGCCTATTACTGGGGATCAGTAAATACTGTGAAACTTCCCTGAGTATGTAAGGAGCAGGAGTGAAAGAAAAAATGAGGCATTTGTGGCGTGGGAACTTATGATGTTGCTTACAGAAAAATGAATCAAGTTTACCAAAACATACCAAATATGTTAGTCAGGGTAGACAATATTAAAGCGCCCTTCTTACTATGCGACACAGAGTTTGCATTAAATCCGTCTTCCTCTGGCAATTTCTTCCAATTCTGCTAAGTCTTGAAAGTGAAGGAAAACCGAACTGATAGTAAAGTTGATAGTAAAGTCTGGAATGTAAGTGTGACTGATTTTTATGCACATTGTCAAAAGTATATAAAGAACTGGGAGCACTTTTAAAAGTTTCTACAATGATAGCAAGCCAATGAATGTAAAAAGCTCTGGTTAAATTAGTAAACTTGATTTCAAAGGACAAAAAAAGTATTCACTGTTTCTTAAATCTGAGCACATAGTAAACTCAACGTGGCTGTATACGTTCTACTTTTGTGCTACCTTAGAATTTAACACACCATGAGCATTAAATAGAAATTCACTAAATGGATTAATAAACTCATCAAATGCTTGCAGAGTAATGAAAGTAACTAATTAATCAATTAATAGCACAATGTGTTTATATCTCCTAGACTTGTAAGGCCTTCCTTCCTGCCATGATTAAAGCTAACCATGGTCACCTAGTCTGTATTTCAAGCATAGCAGGACTCGTTGGTGTTAATGGACTATCAGGTGACTATTTCCATTCGCTATACTTTCTTTTATCCCCCAGAAAGTGGGCCCTTCCAGAATGCAGAGGGGCTCTTTCTGCTCTAAAGGAAATCTTACAACATTCAACCCAGGAGAATCACCCCCAATTACAGACTGGGAAATGTACCCTCCTTTTGAAAAAAACACATAAAATAGTGTGTGTGTGTGTGTGTGTGTGTGTGTGTGTGTGTGTGTGTCTCTTTGCTCATTGGTATTCTTTCATTAAGATAATAATTTCAGTGATTTTTTTCTTGGACACACTGGGTGGATATACTCTGTCCTCAAGGACAAGCCGGGGTGGGGGGGGAGGGGGTGAAAGAAAGGAGATTTTTTTAAATAAATAATTATGAGAATTTTCCAAGCTATATCACTAGTGGCCCTTCACTTTATTTCAGATTATTCTTCAAGCAAATTTGCAGCCTTTGGCTTTGCTGAGTCTCTCTTCCTTGAGTTAACTATGGTAAGGAAAACTAAAATAAAAAGCACCATCGTTTGCCCCTATTTCATCAAAACTGGAATGTTTGAAGGCTGTACAACCAAGTAAGTGAGCTCTTTCTTTACTATTATAATAATCATAATATTAAGATAGAACAGAAGTTAACAATGAGAATGTGTTAAAATACCATGGTTTAACTGAGAAAATAATTTGCTTCCTCTATAAAATATAAAAGTATAAATATCCCCAAGTATAAAATATTTTGTGATGTTTGTTAATGTATATAGGAAATGTTTCAAAACGATTTTACATAAAGATAAAATTTATCTTTATTTATACAAAGACAAAATTTATCTAGAATGATTTGAATCACTGGAGTGCTAATGAAAGACTTTTGCACAGGGAACGGTGAACTACAGTGCAACGTAAGGACTATGCAGATCTTATCATTGTTAGTAAATTAACTGAAGCAAATTCTATCACACGAGTGAGCTATGTTTGGAGAAAGACAGGAGCCAGCAGAAAGACCTGAGAATAATTTGAGTTCACTGAAGCTATTAAAAAAAAATAATCCAAACAGATGGGAAAGCATTGTTTGAATGTAGAGAGGAAGATTATCTATTACATGGCTGAAAGTCACAAGGACAAGCACTTAAAATTTCTAGACACTGATCAAAGAACATACTGAAGTTGAGAAGACTGATCAAAGAACTTTTTGAAAATTCTAGTCCTGAAAGGCCGAGACATTAGAGGTTCCATACTACACTAAACTCTATGTGGTAACTACTTCAGTGAGCTTGGGAACTAAGTGAGGATTTCCACCTTTCCACAGAAGAGCTAGCAGCGGGGAGTTCTTATCAAACCTGCTTTCAGCAGTTCTGAATAGAGGCAGAAGTACCCTGAAAGAGGATCCTCATCCAGACAGGGCTTGTTCCTGAGTGAAGCAGCTCTGGAGAGGCATTTGGCGAGGAGAGCAGCTGTAGTGACAGTTTGGGAATTTTGGTTTCTTTGAAAAAAAACACAGAAATATTGTAAGAATATGTTTTCATTTTAATCCCAGGCGTAGGGTATGGAGATGCTTCAGATTGTCCATAGCAGCTGACTATGATTTGCCTCATGCTCTAGCATGGGCATGATTTTGCCAGTTTCTGCAGCTGTGTGACATTTGGAATTCTGCGAACTTTTCAGTATATGAATGCCAGGGCCTTGAGAGTTGTGGCCGCTGATGGGTTGTTGGTTGATTGTTGATTAATTGTTGGTTGGTTGCTGTTGGTTACATGCAAAGAAGAAACAGCAAGAAGAAGAAGGAGAAGGAGGAGGAAGAGGAAGAAGAAGAGGAGGAGGAGGAGGAGGAGGAAAAGGAGGAGGAAGAGGAGGAAAAGAAGAAGAAAAAGAAGAAGAGGAGGAGGAGGAGGAGGAGGAGGAGGAGAAGAAGAAGAAGAAGAAGAAGAAGAAGAAGAAGAAGAAGAAGAAGAAGAAGAAGAAGGAGAAATTAGATATCCTGATGGCAAAGATTAAACTTGCCCCAAGGAACTGGATGCCCCCAATGAGCAGAAAGTAGTCTAACAATTATGTCACCTTCTTTCCTCTATCATTTTTTCTCTCCTAGCTAGTGTTAGGGGTTTAAAATGGAAGAAGGGGTGGGAAAGGGTGGAAGAAAGAAAAACCCATAAAGCAGAAAAATCTAGCTGTAGGCATCTCCTGCTTCTAGAGTGGTGGCTTGTTGTTAGAGAGCTCCAGGATCCTTACCAGTCAAACATTAGGCCCCATGTCTTCAAGCCTCCTAAAAGAGATGGAGTTTACGTAGACTTGCCAGAGCTCTGACACCAGTAGATCATGTCTTCCCAGGCATTGGACTATCAGAAATCCATAGAGGATAGTGGCAGTAGCTGTCACCTCTAGTTCCACCCTCCTCCGACTTCCATATCCTGAATGGTAAAATAAATTGAACAGAAACAGTCAATGAAAATCAATAAATTACTAGAAAAATTCAGGTTCCAGAATCACTTAATCATCGGGAGCTTGGTATGCTGCCTCTGTGATCAGCTGCTGACTTTTTTAAGGAATCAGAAGTTGTTGGAAGGCAAGTCCAACCACCCAGTCCTTCCCTTTATCCCTGTGTGGACCATGTAGGGAATAGCTGGGAGAAAACATCTGAAATTTTGAGAATTGGGACAGAATTGGTAATAGCAAGTAAATCATTCTGAAGGAATACTTCAAAAAGCTGGTTTGTTGTTAAGCTTTCCACAGTCTGTCACACAAGCCTGAAAGCCAGCAAATGTAGTAACTATGATGTATTAGATTGTGCTGGCTGTTTTCTCAAGGTGGTTTAAACACATGGGAGTCTCTATCCTCCAGAGGAGGAGCTGAATTTGGTTATGTGACAAGGGGATTTCTGGGAACTGCCATTCCAATTGTCAAATAGGGAAACACTAAAATACTAATTATTTCTTTGTAGTGTGTAAAATGAGTAGTTTCTGGAAGAAAAAGAAAAGCTCTTGGTTTTAATCAATGTTTATACCAGGGATCCCTCAACCACTGCATGTCAGTCTTCCATTATAATTGAAGATGTATTTTTCAAGTTATTTGCTAAAATGGACTGGTTTCTGGACAAAGTAGTCATCATGTTATGATGTAAATGATAAATAGATTTTATTTAACAAAATGAAGATGGGCAACATAGCTGTCCATTCAATTTCAAATGCTGGTTATGAGATATTGCCACTACGATGTTTTAATATCTACAAATCTAGTTATTATTCAAGTAAATTTTGATAATGCTAATAAACTCCATTAGAAATTTTCTAAAACGTCAGAGAGCTCCAAGAAAGATGAACACTTCGTGGCATCATCAAAATACTGAAAGACAAAAATATAATAATCTTACAAGCATCAAGAAGAAAAATGTCTCATTATGAACAAGTCAACTCGGGTGTGATGAACAGCTGAACTTTCAACCTAAATAATGAAAGCCAAGAAGACTTCAGACTCACTCAAGACACACTCAATAAATCAATCAAGAATCTTTCCCAGCAAAACCATGTTGCAAAAATGAAGGCCACAGGACTGGAGAGATGGCTCAGTGGTTAAGAGCACTGGCTGCTCTTCCAGAGGTCCTGAGTTCAATTCCCAGCAACCACATGACAGCTCATAATCATCTATAATGGGATCTTATCATGCAGGCATACATGCAAATAGAACACTAGTACACATAAGTACGTAAATCTTAAAATCTTAATAAATTTAAATAAAAAAGCAAGGCCACTATAAACAGAGTTCATTCTATTGCTCCAAACACAGGAAACAGAAAGTTCTTCAGGATGAAACAAGTGACACCTTTCAGAGAATAATAAGAATTCACAAGAGAAAAACAATTTTAAAAAGTTTCATAAAGTAGATAACTGTGCAAAGGACAGTGGAGCTATATATTTCTTTTCCTTTCTTGAACTAATTATGAATACAGTGTCATACATAATGTGTACTTAATAGCATTATTAAAAGCTTAAATGAGATAAGTGGGAACAAAGCTCTATTAGTCTTTGGAAATGACAGCAGATCGAAAGAGCCAGCATGAAGGGACTCTGTAATGTGCATCAGTTGTCCTTTGTCCCTTCATCCTCCTTAAAATACAGAACTTATAGAGTAATAAGCACAATGTGTAATATATATAATTATATATTTTAATAGTTATATAATAGTAATATTATGGTATAGAGGAAGAAAAAATAATATAGCTGTGTAGAAACAAAATTTCTATATCATACTCAAATTAAGCTGATATATATACAAAGTGAATTCAGCTAGATTAAGATTTATAGTATACCTTATATATAACCTTTAAAAACCTAATTAGCAAAAAGCTTTAGAAATAAAATTTTAAGATACTGAAAGATGCCCTTGAGATCAAAAGACCCATTCAAGTAGATGAAATAGACTTTGACAGTCACTCTGCTCAATGAAAGAGTGCACACTTGTATTGAGTATGTCTCAAACATTGCTCAAAAGAAAACATCTTCTTGATCATAGAGTACCATCAATAAAATTTAAAATAATAAAGTCATATAAATTATATTCTCTAGCTAAAATTGAATGAAATTATAAATCAAAAAAAACTCAACAACACTCAATACTGGTCACCATGGGAAAGTCCAGTCTACTGACAGAAGCTCTGTATTGTTATTCCAGGTATCCATCTCTCTTACCTCTACTGGAGCAGGAGTTCGTGGCTCAAAAAATATTCAATGCTATTTTAGAGGACCAAGTTTACCTCCTTATACCCAAGTTTGCGTATTTTGCGTTGTTTCTCAAACAGTAAGTTGGTGAAGACCTTTGGGTTGATTGTGAACAAATTATCTGATCATTGCTAATTTCTTATCTAGAAGATAACTTCACTGTTATTTAAAATAATGACAAAGAATTTTAATACTTCACAAGGAGGATTTATTGGACTTTAGTGAACCATGTCTTTGTTACTTCCGGTATTAATTAAATTGAGCCATTATGTGGGCCTCTCAAGAGCACAATGCATCTGTTCCTACACAGAACCAAAAAGCACACAAACTCTAGGGGAGGCTTTGGAGAAGTTTTGAAGTTGTTTCCTGTGGTTTTGTTGTATTATAGTTGTTGCTGTTGTTGTTGTGTTGTTGCTTGTGTGAGTTTCTTCATTCACTTGCTTGGGATGTTCGGGATACTATCATGTTGCATATTTCAGGCTTCCAACACTCTTGCCTCACCTTTCTGATTAGTGTATGCAACGCCACATTCAGTTTTTTTATTGTTGTTTTTATGTCTTTATTTTTTAATCAGTTTAGTTTGTATAATGCAGAGTTACACTTTTACAATAAGGCACAAAAATCCTGATGTTTCTCGGAAAACACTAAGGTATTTGGTAATTTCTTCACTTCACTTAATGAAAGAGTTCCTGCAACATTTTTGAAGGCCAGTACAATGTGTTCTGGGGTAGTCGTGGGTAGATTCTCACAGGCCCACATCTAGCATGTAGGTGGTGTCTTCTGTGTGTTGCCTATAGCCCTGATGGCTGTTCAGGAAGCTTGCCAGCACAGCACATCTGGAATCTAGAGAGGATAGATAATTCAGGATTAAATAGAACTATTAAAGCTTTCACATCAGGACCTCCTCCTGCTCTTCTGTAAGCACAGATGTATTGTCTTTGTGAACAGTGCTTAGAATCAGACGTGTTTGGGGCTTCAGATGCATATTAGAATGATCTTCACACTTAAAACTACTGTACTGCACATAATCTTAATTGGTGTGCTTTTATTCTAATTCTTGCTATTGTTGACTAGTAAGTAAATACATACTGAGTAAATAGGAACCATCTGATCTCTACAAAGAGCCAGTGAGTATAGCAACTGGAGAAACTGGGATTTTTCAAAGCTTTGGTAATGATTATAGGGTAAAGGAAGAGCTAAACGCATCCATCATCCTCCATAACGTTGACAGTCCTGAACTATGATATGATATGATGGTATCCTTCCATTCACCCCTCACATCGAGTGATAGATGCAAAACATGAACCTTTCAGACTTTGTGTTATTTTCACTTAGTCCTTGCAAAGTAGCCCCTTTGGTGACTTTAAGAATTGTAAAGGATCATAACTTTTCTATACTTTTCTCTAGAATAATATCTCCAAAAATGATGATTGCCCTGGGTGAGTACCTTGGCGTGGACACGTGTATGACTTCATTCACAGGAAGAGCCAAAGCAGAAGAGCTGCAAATTGAAACAGAAAGGAAAGAGCAATAGCTCAGGCCTCGACCATGATAGTCACATATAGAGATGAGACAGTACGCTGTTAGAAATCCCCCT